CTTGTGATTGCTTCGCCTATCACTACCCACTTATAGTTTGGGTGTTTCCAAAATCAACCTCAGGTATCATCGAAACGGAACCGACTTTGTGAGTCATACGATACACCCTGATTGATAAGACTGGTAATAATGTTCGGATACGAGCTCTGTGTCATAGTGTCATAGCAAATGATAACGAATCATATCACTTTCTTTCACTTTGGATTTTATAGTTTTCCTGCTATTTCCATGGAATTTGTATTTATATCACTATATTTTGATTTTTTTCTTTTTTTAAAATTTCATTTTTTTCCAAATTTTATAACTTAGGAACTCCCGCGGAGTTCAGAGAAAATGATACAGGGTTCTCAGAGAAAATGATACAGGGTTCCAATCTCTTATGTTCAGAGAAGATGACACAGGGTTCCAATTTTTGTGTTACTATTTTAGCTCCTGAAAACCGAAAGCCAAGAAATTCAACTATGTTTCAATCTGTCGTAAAAAGCCAAAGTGATAAATACAAAGCGCTAGGCGTTTGCCATTTTCGAGGGAGTGCGCCATGTGCTTGGTTCCCACTCACGATTGTAATGGCATTTGAATGCATAGGNAGCTCAACGGCTAATTAGTCGTTATTCAACAGTGTTGAAGGGGGTGATAAGTTTGATTGGCCTGAAAGGAATTCGATCCTAAATTCAATTTACGGGCCCTAACATGGGACATCTATACCACTTTTCGTACAGCTGCCTTTCATTTTGTTGGTTGATGGTTGTTATTTCTGAATACCATTAGGATGCTAGCCGATGATTGCTCATTGTCAAATCGAATAATGTGCTTATTTATTTATTTATTTATTTATTTATTTATTTATTTATTCATGCATCTGTATGATTGAAATGTTTTCCATATCGACAGTAGTAAGTAGAGTGACAATTATTCGAGTTGAGAAAGCCCGAGAGGCTCAACTTTCGCGAATATCCTTGGATACGCCATGCAGCGCAAGTTGTATTTGTAGTCACGGCTTCCAGATGACCATAGTGCTAAGGTTAGCAAAATGGAAACTGAATACCGAACAATAATTCTTCTGTATATTTATTTCTTTTTTTATTTTTTATCTATTGATTTCTCAACCATCGCTCTGCATATTTATTTTTAATTATTTATTTATTTGTTTACTTGCTTATCTGCCTCATACTTATTTATCTATCCCATTTTTGCGACTATTGCTCGTGTAATAAGTAGTATAGTGTAGTATTTTCGAAACCTGCAACATCAAAACTCTCTTTAGTTGCATAACTTCAAAATACAGTAGGTATTGAGCTCTACTATCGTCACTCTCCAAACAATCTGGAAGAGTTCATTTGTTTATTTGCTCATTGATCAATAGATTTGTTTATTTTTTCATTTGTTTATAATTTATTCCGTTTTTGGATCTTATCGCCTTCAGGCTCTGTTCCATTGCAAAACTGTCAAAATACATAGGAACTCTACGGAACTTCAGTGTTCCTGGCGTTTCTCTGGCGACACTTTGTTCGCATTATGCAAACTTTTCCGGCGGCATTATTTTTCATGTGATCGTTAAGTGGTGCTTTATCATAAAAGCAGCAAACATTTCCTTGAGCAAACAATGTTGTCAGATGATATTCGTTGAGAGCACCTTCAAGATGTCTCTTGTTCGAATAGATCTGAAAAATTCCAGAAAAAATTAGCTTCTGGTATTTTTTACTTATTAGTTTATTGCAAAGGATTTTTACATACATAAAAATTATATATTATTTTTCGTTATATTTCTTCTAAAAATAGCCTAAAGCGCTCGATTCATCTACTTTTTATGGTAGGTATTGACAATGCTTCGATATTTTTTTCGTCTTCGAACCTTTCCGTTCTTATTGGGGATTCATGAAGGTCGTACAAGAGTTATAGTTCAATGCCTTTCCCATGATGGAGCAAGGAGATTGTAAATAACAACCAAAATTATTAATAAAGCAACCTTTATAATCAGTGTTCGCTCTGCAATCATTAAAATTAAATTAATAAGTTGAACTTAGAATTTAAGAGGATAATATGTTAAAATTTCAATTTTGAATGTTTACAGTTTCGAATTTTAATTAGAGCATGAGTATGAATCCAATGAATGGCTAGGGATAAAGGCAATGTCTATTAGAACTTGAGTATGAATCGAATAATAGGCTAGTGAGTAAAGGCAATATTAGGCAGTACCGTTCTTGTACCATAGTTTCAAGTAGCTGGATTGATTCCAATTTAAAACTACTTTGAAAACCTGGTTTCATTTTTTTTGCAGACTATATTGTACCGTGTTTCGAACCTAATCTTTGGTATAAAATCTATTAGTAAATTCGCAAATATCAGCTGTTACAAAGCTGTTGTCCGCAACAAATGCGCATTCCATCGTCATTATGATTCTGAACAAAAGCTAATTACGTGGCTCACGCCCACCCACAAGCGGACTGAATCAGCGCTGCACGCTTTATCTCTTCTATCCTTTAAGCTTATCAACGAGCACAGATGCTTTTCTGAGTGAAAACGCAATCCGAGAACAGTTCTCATCCTAAGTTATGTGTGAACGGAATTGCTTTAATCTCGATTTGAATATGTTAGGGGACATTATTTATTGTCAGGATATAATAGGACGGAAGTGGTGTAGAGGCAAGTGGTGCCCTATCACACACATGCATGGTCCGGGGATCGAATCCGAGCTCGATATAGGCCTAGACCTACTGAGCCTCCCATCCCTCCAGGGTCAGTTAATTTGTACAAAACTCGTGTGGGAAGATGAAGGCACTTACTTGTATTTTGGCTAAGCACCGCAAGTCATGTATAGGCCCTATACGCATTCAATACGCCTCTACGATTTTGAAAGGAAGGCGCTTGCGGGGCGCATCCCAGAAATGGAGCTAATTAATGCCAGCAAATCCATCGTTATCCTCGTGGCCCGTAACTTTGTAATGATAGTATAACTCTTTACAAGATAAATTCATATCTACGATTACGTATAAAGCCATGGTCCATCGGTATCGGTATAATCTACCCATTCAATACCATAGTTGTAATTTATCCTTTGAATAGCGCCTACACTCACTAGATAGGTACGACTTGTTTTTCTTACTGCTCATCTGAAACCCATTTGATGAAGGGGGATTACTCTTTCTCCTCCGTTCCCCTCGCAATTGCCTCCAGCTTTGACACTCTCGACCCCTGCGTCTCTGCCGTCTGTCACCAGTGCTCTGTTGTCTGCACTCTGCCCTACTCGGCTGGCAGGCGGGTGTCCAAGCCGTCCCCCGGCTGCTGGCTGTGTGAGGCTGCCTCCTCCGCGATTCCATTCCTCTAGCTCGGTATGTCCTGAAACAACTTTTAATTCGGGTTCTCAGATGATCTACTGAAATCTGCACCGTTGCTATTCGGATATGTCTGTCACTGAACCGGAATTTCGACGTGCTTTGGCAGATTTCGTCTCGAAAATCGATCAAATCGGTAGAACAGAACGATGGACATTGCACAAGGTAAGAAAATTAACTGCTTAGTTTTTGTTTATATTTGTTGGATCTGATTGTTGCTTGTTTGTTGTGACTTAAATGATTGCTTCTGCATTGGTGTTCTTGTTTATTTTCTGCGGACCAAAACCTTTTTGGCCTCCCTTATGTTGTTCACTGCGTTGTAGAACCACAAAAGTTGTTAATTAGATGGAAATGGATTAAATTATTGCCAATTAAGAAAATGTTGTTGGACTTCACAAGTTTGAGTGAACTTTTTGAAATCCATTGTCACATCCACCCAGTCCGTCTTTCTCAATTTTTTTTTCTTTCTGTTCGATTTTCATAGGGAACCATGCTGAAATTGCCGTGGAATGGGCTCGATTTATCTCTCAAAGATATGAAATCTCATTTTTTCTATCTTTCCTCCCACGTAGGGTTGCAATTGAAGGACAACTGTTGCGGAAATGTAATATGAAACTGCTTACGTCAGAATACAATGCTATAACGACTAAAGATCAGAAAAAGATTATCCCATTCCTCTAGTCATTAGAGCTTTTCATTTATTTCCATTTATTTCCTTTGACTGACCAAATATGGCTGAAAATCAAGGTAAATTGTTGAGATTGCCAATTTCCTTATACGGCATAAGAAGTAAACAGTTTAATGGCAATACCATATTGTTTCATTATGATCACCGAGGGCTACTAAATGAATTTTGAGGAAAGTAATGAGGTTTTCGTATATTTTGTATTATGGTAGCGATGTTGAATGCATCGATTTATTCAACTGAATTTTCGGGCCATTCGCCAGGATATGCTTTGCTTTCTCCTGGTCGAGGGAGTTTCCTGAAAGAAAAAAGATTCTTTGAATAAGGGACTGCGCCGACAAAAGGCGCAGACAGAAGTTCGCAAAACTTTTCCGGCCACAGAGATATGCAAAGAATCAACACTGCCATCTCTCAAAAGACTTTTTTTTNNTTTTTTTTCGAAAAAACTTTTTTGGTTGGGGGTGTAGAGCAGCCTTGTGAGTTGGAGAGTTTGTCAAAAGCACGAGGGCGATAGTACAATCAAAGAACTCTTCAGTTCATTTTGGAGAATAGGCAATCTTTTGGGAAAGTTCCCCATTTATGATTGAACATATGCGAGATTTCGTTTTTTGTCCAGTTCACCAATCAGGCGTTAACTTGAGCGAAGCCGAATCTATACAGGCTCCAATATGCTACTGTATTCTCAATGATTCAGCATGGATACCAATTTTTAAAGTAGTCCCTCTATTGCTTCTTTCTAGTACTAGTAATTAGTAGCTGTACTAGTAATACACGTACTATTATAGTTGCATACTAGTGGCAAGGCGCAAACGTGGGATTACGGTAAAAATCTGGAGTCATTCTGAATTTTCGTTCTTTGTGTGTGTAATGAATTAGTTCACTGCAGTCCGTGATTCATCAGCACGTTTTTCGCACAGCGTAATGAAACTGCTGTCAGTTGGTAAGATTATAAGTATTGATTCCAATCAGAAGTTTAAATATCTTCATCCGAGAAGTGGTTCTAAAAATGATAGTTTTGAAAAAAAATTGTCGAACTTTTGTCCTTTTATCCTCTTACTTTTGTACCTAATAATACGGGGACTGAATGAATAGCCTTACTTACGTCACTGGTTTTTTCTACTTAACTGTCATGTTTAGAATCTTTTTGAAAAAAAAAACTAGCCCTGCTTATCATGCTCTGTCAGTGTGGCATGCTCTTTTGAGGTTTCGCACTCGCACATGCTACAGGTTGAAATATAAGAATATGCTAACGCCGAGTACATCTTTTTCATTTGACTGACATTTCTACGTCTAGTGTACTATAATGCAACTCTGAGCTCTCAATTCATTTGTTGCTCAGCTTTTGCTCCATTGCAAAAAAACCCTNTCAGAGATTTGCAGTTATTTGCACGTGGTCTACCTAGTGCGCTGGAACGTTAGGTCTATTTTCAGCAAGTCTATTTTCAGCTGTATTAATAGTGCATATAATGGAGCGGCTATTTTTAGCCTTATAGAAAGACCGTCTTTTTTTATTTTTTGCATTTGCTTTATACTGCCTGACGAAACTCGTAAAACGTTGTTGTTTTCAGTCGGATCTGGGGATCTGTGCCAAGCAGTCTGTGATGGTAAAATGGCGGAAAGAGGTAGTGAATCGGCAAGTGCATGTCACTTATAACCCCACCTACTGTGTTCCCGTACTTTGGTTCAACTTCTATCGACGAGGTAATGTGAACATCAGTCATGTTGTTTCTTAAACTTACTATCCCATATGACTGTCACTGACTGTTGACCTATTGGCTGATAATGACAGATGATGGTGTGGTGGGATACCTTGTCTACTCTTCTGCTTCACTATTAGTTTCCACCCCATAACATGACAAAGAGGTTTTTCCAGTCAATTTTCAGGAAACACAAGTTTGAACCAGCACTATTTACAAAAACAATCCTCGAAATGAGTTTCCTATATTCAAAAAGTACAAACAAACATTTCAAATAATACTTCCGTGAGCCTGGGAAAATGGAAGCTGCCTTGTTCTTTTTTTGCATAATCGTCATTTCCGTTGGTGCTTTTTTGTAGTCGTTGTGGTTTTACAACACCCATGTCATGCCAGCTAGCTGTCATGTCCTTTATGAACTTTTGAAGCTCACCTGTTAACTATCGTCGAAGCAGTACTGCCGCTTCAACAAATGCTCTTTTGAAATATTTATTAAGTATTAAACAACTCAAGGAGTACCAGAATAACAGGTGGAACAGCTGGTAGAGCTACGAAAACTGTGTTTTAGGACCAAATGTAGATTCTGCTAGTCTACTTCCGGCTTGATGGAACAGCTGAATAAACGTTGGTATGTGCTGTCAAACCCTGAACAAATAGAGATTAGCAAATCAGAGTCTGCAACCTTTAGCAAGGGATAAGTGCTTCCCAAGGTAAAGGATCCTGAATGACACTGCAACCACCTTCCATGGCATGGGAATTGTAAAACTGCTATACATTTTCCTTAAAAAAAAGACTGTGGGAGTGGTAGCCACACGGAAAATTGCGTAGACTTGAACTCACTCACTCACTCACTGGAGTAAATACTCCTATACTTATACGTAAATACTCAATACTACTCACTGGACTAACTGGACTGGCGTAAATATATAGGTGGAGTTAACTTACATTTAAAAACAAGAAATCTTCCCTGACGTTGTTTTCAGTGAAACCTGCGAGGGTCCAAAGACGAAGGAATCAAGTTGTGAATCATTCTAGCCATCGTCCCATAGATTAGAATTGTGTTTGAGTAAAAGAATAGTTGGTTTACCACCGTCAAAGCCTATTCAACGTATTATGTGTGCATGAGCAACCTCTTATTCAATTATGCTTTCTTTTTTCCTTTAATGGGCACCTCTACCAAGTAAATGTTTGCCTAAGCGGTAATTCGATGAGAAATATCTTTCTTTCACCATTCCAGTAATCTTTATTGAAAATTTTCAGATGGAACACCTCTAACAAGCTCTGAAATCATGGAAATATCAGGCAATGAAGATTCCATGGAAATCTCGCAGTATATATCATTGAATGAGCACCCAATTCTTGGCGTTCTTTTCTACAATATTCACCCGTGCAAAACTAAAGACATTATGAATGAGCTCAGTGGCAAAGGAAACTATATTGCAAAGTAAGTGACATAGTTATTGACTGACAGCAAGAGATCACTTTGCATATCAATAAAACCAGCATTTCAAAAAGGCTAGACGACAAAAAAATTACAACTAGAAATTTCCGTAGATTTGAAATGAAGTAGAATAGCCACTCTTATGTATCAATGAAAATCTTTGCGGGGCAACAAATGATTGGAGGCACATTATCACAATGGAACATGGGTGAACGGTCAATGATAAATGCATAGCAAAAATGCAAACTGATAGATAATAAAACCTCTTGAAACAATATTCAATGTGGTGCTACCCTCAACAAGAATTATTTTGAATTTTTCAAACAAAACTCTTAGGGAAAGAAAGGCGTGGGCAACAATATAATGTAGTGGGTCCACTTAACATTAATTTGTTTCAACTGAAAAGTCGGTTTCTTAGGCATCTCCTTTAAAGCGAATTGCTTCTTCTCAAATTTGATTTAGGCAACTCAATTCATTCCTTTCCAGATGGCTGTCTGTTTACGGTGCTCCGATCGGTCTTGCTCCGCCTGATGCGTTGTTCACTTCGAAGGCGCTTTCGCAGCGCTCCGAAGACGCATCCCAAAGCTCCGACGATGGCTCGCTGAGCACGCTCGAGATGTAGGATCAGGATAAACTGAAGAGATCGTTGATGAAACAGATCGTTTCCGAAATCGAGGTATGTCGTCGGCCAATGGGGTCGCCTAGAATCATCCATTTTTACCCTCGCAGTTTGTAACAGAAAGTTTATCTGATCTTTGGCTTCTGCTGAATATTTCGCGGCAGACCTAACAAGTAATTTGATTCCCTTCACAAGGAGCAAGACGACACACTAAAGCTTGAGAAACACACTCAGCTCCTTCTTAAGGACAAAAACATCCAAGTACGCAGTAGGAAAAATGTGTAGGTTTAAAAGTGAAGACAGAGAGAAACATTGCTTTGGCTCACCTTGGATGGGTCGAAAAACTCCAGTACTCTGAGAAACAGCATGTTTATAAGGGATACTATAATGTAAAGTATTCCGAATCCAATTCCCTGGTCCGCGTACCTGATAATACTTGAATATAATGCCTCACAAAGGCAGTGCGGTTAAAAAAACTAGTCACTTTTTAAGGCCACGTCGCCACTGGGGTGTCGGTTCTCGCATCGCATCCTTATAAACTAATTCAGTGCGCCTTGCGACCTGGAATTCCTCTTATTTATGAAATCATACTTTTAGAGAAGTGACAGCAAGGGTGATGGTCATTGGTTAGAACTAGTCTCCGGATACATTCACTTATTTTGTCGATAATAATATGGTAGTAGTGCCATCAATATGCAGCCAACCTGACCACAAAGAAGTATTTGTCACGAAGAGACTAGTGCCAGGCGATGCTACACTTTGCTACTTACTGCTACCGTGAAGTGGTGTCTCTCAAAAGTTGAAAGAGTTACTTTTATTGGATTTCATGTGATGGATAAATGATAGTCCTAGATTATCTTGGACTCCTTTGGTCACCTTCTTTGCTTCTTTTGAGAAACATGAGGAATTGAACTCAATTCCCGAATCCCTAAAGTTTCGTAGTATGAGGTGACGTTTACGCCTGAGTCTTTCCACCTTATTTACCACTGTATTCTTCGACTTTTCTCTAAAGCAGAGGAAGATAATCACTCATTTGGTAACTATGGAATTCATACCACCTCCAGCTTTTGATGTCAAAGAACTAGTATTCTTGAAGTAAAGGGAATTTTACCAGTAGTGCCCACGAATACAGTCGTAAAGTTGCAACGTAGAGATCACCTCTGGCCAGTAATACATATTCGAGACTGCTTTATGTTTCTGAAGGGGATCCATTAGTTGTTTCGCCTCCCTTTTCTTGATCGCAACCGAAAGCGCATCAACGAGCACTGAACATAAATGTTATAGACATGTAGATAAGAGTATGTATGAGAAATAACTTACGTTCCGGAACTGGTTCCTCAAGCGAAATGAACTCTGCTGGAAGTACTTCAGGGATTCCTCCTACTTTTGTCGAAACAACGTGGAGCCTTAACGATGTTCACATCACGGAATAATATACATATATTGTGAACATTTCAGCTCATACCCACAACTAGCGGCCTCCACAATGCTCATACAGAACGCTTCTGTCAAGGAAGTGTTGATGAATATCTGAAATGAAAATACTGTATTTTAGCAACGATAGCATAGTGATTTGGAACCACCCAGTGATTTTGATACAGTTGTGTTTTACCTCTGAACATAAAAAAGCTTTAAGCGTCATGATTTAATCGATTACTGGTGATGTGTTGATGCTATTAAGATATTTATCAGAATAAAGATTTCTCTTACTGTTCGTTCTGACCTGGCCCTGTACCAGCACTTCTCGGACCATATCATGAGGCAAGGTCCCTAGCAGAGTAACACGGCTGTGCAGATGGTACTGTTCACGCATTTCCTCCAGCTCTAACCGTTTTGGACCATCTCCGCCAACAATAAATCGTACTTGAGGATGTCGAGCACATACCTGCGAAGTCAAATCCTGATGAGAGACAACGATGAGAAGAATTTACGCTTATCAACATTAGAACAATTATTAGAAGGTCACAAAAGCCAATGAATTTACCTTTGGAATGACAGCACATAGAAGATCTGCACCCTTCCTATATACAAGACGCCCCAAGAATATGATAGTAGTTGGGTTTTCGTAAAATTGCTTCGGATCCGGGTAGAAAAGTCTAGTTTCAATGGCGTTTGGTATTGTGAACACCTTTCGCGGATCGAGTTTTCCACGTAGTACGGTGTTCTCTTTGCTGAAAGAACTTGGAACTACAGAGGATGGCTCTAGAAAATCCCTTACGGGCCGACAATAAACAGAAACTACTAACCTTGTGTACGAAACACAAATCACTCTATCGACGTTCGCCAGGGAATACTGAAGTACAAGTGTGTTCGTAAGAATGGCTGAAGCATCGGCAAAACCGAACAGTGAATGGTCCGTGAAAACGGTTTTGATGCCCATTAACCAGCCATTAAACATAGCTTCGTGAGCCATAGAGGAAAACGTCTAGACGAACAGCCCTCGAGGCAAAGAACCTTAAAGGACAAAGTCATAATATTCACCGAATGCCCATGGATGAGCTGAATCTTCTCTCGAAGGAAGATTTTCCTCAGCCAGGGCAAGCTGCCAATGATGGTTGCAAGACTACAGCCATTGTATATCACAAGAAATGGGAGGTAATACACCTGGAAATGCAGACCGTAATACACGAAGCTTCTCAAATATTATTTTAAATTGAAAGTACCTTCAATCCATTGGAAAGATACCGTATTCCTCTTCGATCACCATAAGCATGAGTGATTACGATGACCTGTTAAAAAAAGAACAAATTAAATAGACTCCAAAGGAATTCGGGAAAGTCCAAAAGTGGCCAATAAGCGTACCCTTGGCGGACTTTTATCATCAAAATGAACTTACCCTATGTCCCAACTCTAGAAGGCACTGCGCTAGAAAGTAAATATGCGTCTCTACACCGCCAGCATTCGGACAGAAGAAGTCCGAGACAAGCCTAAAGTTAAAAATCACCCATTTTCGCCAGGATGAAATGAATTAGTAAAACTTACGCTATGTTGAAAGACTCCTTGTTGACAGGGGAGTGGGCCATACCAACAAGAAGGCCTGGATTTCGAACTATCTCGACCACATCACACCTTATTTCTTCAGGAATGAGGTACTGAAAATGCAGAACATGATTAACACAGTACCTGAGCACTTTGTGAGACAATGGTATGGCAAATTAATAAAAAATCGTTTTAAGAATAGGTTCTGAACCTTCTGCAAGTGGATGTTGATTGTTAGAGAAAGAACTTTGTTGCAAAGCGTTTTAATGGCTCTGTTTCGATGTACTCAACACATGCTAAGGCTGGGAGTATTTAATGCAAGATAAACAAATTCTGCACTCCATGGTCTTCAAGACAAATCCATGGCAGCCAAACACTACTCCAAGTAGAAGAACCACCAAATCCAGGTTCTGGCTAGGCAATATTTAGGATCGAAAAGTGGAGTCAGGGAAAAANAAAAATATGTCCTTGACCACAGTGACTTTCCATTATCTTCCAACTCTTTTGTAGAATGTAGTGCTAAACTGAAAATAATGATGTCAGCAGTCCATTCCCCAGATTACTGTAGCTAGTAACCGGCACTTCCCAATGATTTTCATTCCGTTACGATGAGAATAGAATGCATCTATAAAATTAGAAACCGTCGCAGGGAAAAGCAGCCGAAATAGGCCTCAAGATATAAGCACGAATTGAAAGCAGTGATGTGTTAGAACTATCATTATAAAGCAAATTTTAAACTGCTCTCAAATGTGGCGTCGCTTAGCGCATATTGGCTGCAAATGCACTCCTAAAAAGTCCCGTGGCACAGTCGATAGAATAAACAACCGAGCCGGTTGTGCGCTCTGTTGAAGTCCCCACGGTTCTTGTTCACCGATGGAGTGCTGTTCCGTCCTGAGTTTCCTTCGTATTCTATGTCTTAGAGAAAGCTCTAACCATCATGCTTCAGGTCTTCTTCCCATTCCCCCATTTTACAGCGGCTGCATCGATCGTCTGGATGGGGATCGCGGGTGCTCTCGGCTGTGAATCAATAGTGTTTCGCAGTTGTTTAGTGACGAGTTTTATTTCTGTTCCGTGCAGCACGACGGAGTCATTCCCAACCGATCCCCTCTTCCTACTGCCTCTGCTCAATCGAACAACAGACTTTCCTTCTATCATTAAGTCCGGCGCATTTAAGACCCTCACTAGCCCTGTTTGTATTAGAGGCTTGAGTGAGTGCTAACCTCCGTCTCTGACCCAAAGTAAAGTAGGAAGCAGGGGCTTCCCAAAATGAGTGTTTCGCTTATCGCGGGGGTCATTATTTTGGCAATCGTCGTCTGGGCAGCTGTCAAACTGAAGTAAACAAATCAATTCCCAGTCGGGACCGCCATGACTTGCCCCAATGGTATTGGGTGACTTTTTCTAATTTCAAAAAAAAAGCTATTGGGAAAAGGAAAACCAGTCAGAAATCGAGTGCTGCATCTATCGAGTGTCCGATTGTTTGGGTATTTCCTGCCTAAAAAACTCGGTTAAATCCGTTAATGGGGTTCTCCGCGACCAAGTCCGCCATATCGGAGAAATTGCTGATCAGTGCATCAGTTACCGATTCCATCTATTTTTGAGTAAACAATTCTTGTTCCATAAATATTGCATTTAAGAAAGGACATCATTGAAACGATAGCTGGACTTCCCAGATTTTCTCTCCGATAAGATACCCTGAGAGCCAACATCCTGTCCGGGATTCTTAATCATCATTCGATCATGTTCGTTATGTTGCTGATTCATACCCGATACAGTGTTGTCTGATGTACCAAGTCCATTCTACTCGTGCATTCAATGCTCATCTTTAAAAGGTGGGAGGGAAACGATAAGAATCCGAATCTGTTACTAATACTCGTAACTTTTCAGGCTTTTTTGTTCGCTCAGCACAATGCCGGCCGAAGCACTAGCCCATTTAGCTAAAGTGCTTCGCATCACTCCGGAAACATTTGAAGAAGCAATCGAAACAGCAGCCGAAGTGCTTTTTCGTGGTGGCATTGTAGCTCTTCCAACCGATACAATATATGGCGTTTCGACGCTCATCGAACATTCTGATAAACTGTATTCACTGAAACGACGCCCAATGAACAAGCCATTGGGTCTGTTTCTCTCCGATCCAAGGGAAATCCCTCTCTGGGCATGTCCGACAATTTCGCCACAAATCGCTGCACAACTACTCCCTGGTCCAGTGACTTTGATTTTCAATCGTTTGCCTTCACTTCCTGCAAATTTTAATCCGGACCGAGATGATGTGGGTATACGAGTCCCCAATTCGCCATTGGTTCTAGCTCTGACGGCTCGTCTGGGTGTACCGCTTGCACAAACTTCTGCAAATGTCAGTGGTTCTGCGGCTAATCCAACATCTGTGACAGATTTTAGCCATCTATTTTCCGAAATCGATTTAGTCCTCGATGGAGGGGTGATTGGAAAACCACTTGAATCACCATCCAACAACGAGGGTAGTACCATCATAGACTTAACACAGAAGGATTTTTATAGTGTTGTACGTGAAGGATGCGCTCTGAAGCACACAGAAGAACTGCTCAGAGCGGCAGGAATCAAACCTCTGAAAAAGTTTTATTGCTAGCATTGTTTTACCTCATCTGTTCCCCCGTAACTCTGTGCATAGCATAGGGTGTCTTTCGTAACAACCAATCGATAACCAGAAAAGTGTCTTTCTTCGGAACCATATGCGATTTGTGGCACTACAAACTCTCATTTTTAGATTTCAGTGATTTTTCTGAACCAAAATCTACAGCTACATGAAATATTTATGTAAAACATTATAGCCCTTCTCTTATCTACTCTCTTTGATGTTTGTTAAATTGCACTTTGTTCTTCCCATTCCATGTTTTGAAACCGCTATGCCGTTGTTGTTGCTCGTTTATGTTGTAATTGTTAACTAGTAAGAAATAAAGTTTCTAGGATATGAAACGGAAGGCTGAACCGGATGCAGAGGAGATGGCGTCATCTAAAGGACCATCAACATCAAAAAAACTTGCACCAGACACAAACAATGATTTCATAAACGAAACGGTCAGTTTTTTTTTCTGGTTTTTGTTTAACTTTGTTTGCACTTTCACTGTCTTCTCCGTGAAATGACTAGATTTTTGCGTTGGTCCTAATAAGATCCCTATTGACATGTAAATTATGAGCGTTAGAGCATTTCAAAGATTTCGAAAAAAAAGAATTAAGGACTGAAACGCTTCTATAACGTTTTGCCGTGAAAAAATTCGAATCTTGTTATGCTTACGACTTTAATATCGGCTCAAAAGCATAAAAAATTTGTATTTTTTCCTTTTGAAGAAGACCTTCTGTTCATAAAAAACGACATTTTACTGACGGTAAACTCATGGGAATCGGGTGTGACGTTCTTTTGAATTAAAGTTTCAAATCGTTCCATTGACAGTTTGAATAGGGTTTGAACTCCAAGAAATCATTTCAATTAACCGAGCAAAATGTAGTTTTTGACGGAGTCTCGTAGTCAAAATAACTTTTTGGAGGTTCTTATTCCTCACAAACTTACTTTTTTGGGTTTGCTTTCGGATCCATGTGTCTGCGAACTGCAACACTTCATTCCTTTCCCTGTTTGTTAAGAAGCTTCATCTGGCGCAGTCTAAAGAAGTGCGTTATTTTGCAGAATTTTGACGTCGCCATGATAGGGCTATAACTTTGGCGAAGGTGCTCCTCTACTTTTCCCAGGATCGATTTTTAACCTATCTTAACTTTGAGGTCCAAAGGCCTTCAGGCTCTGTTCTATGAGCTCAAATTTAATCTGGGAGGTACTATATAATTTTTTGTGAGATCGATGGCGTCATCCGAGCATCAATGAGAAACATAACAAAGCCCCCGACGGTTCTGGGCATCGCGCTGAGCATGTGCTCTCTATGCTTTTGACGATCATTTGAATCGAAAGACGGTGTGGGTTTTCCGGCCCCTTTTTGTTTTGCCCTCTTAAGATTGTAATCTTGTTTTGACTTTTGACTTTTTACTTCGTACCCCGTCTAGTAATTCGGAACCTCTATTGATTCCGTTGTTGGGTGTAAGGGCTATCTGGAAGATTGCGTTAATAAATGCACCTTTCATAATGTTTATCATACTGTTCTGGTTCTCCAATCGATAAAATCATAGAATTTGTAATAGCTGACGCTAACTTTATATGCAAGCATTCAAAGTGCTACAGCTCCACAATACCTGCGTACTTATCCCTCTATTTAGTGGTTTCCTCGGTGGATCACTAGGCTTAGTCGTTTGGTTTGTCTCGTATAGAGTGGATTTATTTTCCCGTTGTAAAATTGATGACAAGGCTAGTCCGATATTGAGGAAAGACTAGTTGAACGCCTATTGATTAGGAAAAGTAGTGACGACTCGTATTTTGAAAGGGTACGGGATATAAAGTTTCTGTTTGTACTAGTATAATAAAAATGGCGCAAAGATTCAAACTCAATTATTACACATTGATTGGTAATCTATATTTATTCATTTATTCAAATACACCTCAAGGGTGTGTTCATTAATCGCAGAAAAAAGAAATTAGAAATCCGAAATTAAGAAATTTCCTATAAAAACTTAATTATTCCCAACCAGCTTCGTCTAATTAAGCAGAATGTTTTGGTTGAAAAAAGGGCCGGAAACTTGCTCAAAGAGGGCTCGCTGAGTGTTATGAGTTCTAGTAGGATTTTCTTTCGTTTTCCTATGTCTGTTTCTTCGA